GCTCTCTTGTTCATAAATAATCCCATAAACTATTGCAGTACAGTTTATGTACATATATAATGTGTATATATGTGTGTGTACACATGCATACATATGTGTGTTTGTGTGTGTGTATATACACACACACACACACACACACATACATACAGGTCTTCTATACAGTATTACTGTTTCTTCCTGTTTAATCAGTGAATTGGCAGTGATTCACATATATCCCAGTGTATCACCTGCAGTTCTTCAGTTCTTCTGAGCTATTTTCTTTGTGTTAGTTACACCGCTATACTTTCATTGTAGAAGTAACTGTTTTCTGGAGAGTGGACCTGCCTTCCTCAAGGTGCTAGCAAAACCAGATTTGAAACTAGCACAAATGATTCATACTTGTGACAACTCAGTTTCAGACCTTCTTCTCCACCATGCCCCATTAACTAGTTTCTCTTGTCATCCATGCTGAAAGGCTAGTTGCCTAATTATTAAGTAACTATGCTTAGACCAAGTATTTTAAAGTTTTCCAAATAAAAAGTTATATTTTCCTTTAACAGACCCTTAAGAACTCTTATTTTTCTGCCCTCAGCTTTACTATTTTTTGTGCTTTATTTGGAGGTGTGTACAGCAGAGGAAACAACCCGTAACAGTACCTCACCTTAAAAGAGTAAAATCATCCATAGTGAGAGATAGTGTTTGAACTATGGCAACAAGGAAGCTTGCTAGAAAAAAAGTAGAATACATCAGCTGGAAAACTGAAACTCGTGTGTCACCAGTTCCTTATAAGAAATTAAATTTGGGTCTAATAGAAAATACTGTTGAGCAGGTTGCATTTTTATAAGCACAGGATGGGATGGACCATACTCATATACACTCAACTAAACATTGCAAAGGAAATCTCCTTTGTACTGAGATTTAACAGATATCTGCAGTATTCTTGCTGCTTACTGTACATTCAGAAACCATGAAGATTCATCATATGTCATGTGCTGTGGATGAGGGTGGCTTATTTTTAGGATCATTTGTCCTCAACAAATTGCAGTGATTTCAGGTGTAGGTCTCATTTTTGTCTGATTATTGTTTGGCTCTATGCCCTACATTCTTTGTGCCCTACTCTTAAAAAGACTTCTTGCCTGGTTTTTTGGCTGTTGTATTTTTAATTTAAAGAGGCACTTTTCATCTGTTATGATGAGTTGAGTCTTTTTACTTTTGTGGAGTACAGTTAGCTAACAGAAAAAAAAGATTTTGACAGTGCATCAAACGCTACTTCCTAGGATGACTGACTCTCCTAGAAAGGCAGTCTAAAAATCTGAAAGTCCTTTCTGGAACAGGGGAGCATTTCAATAGAAGCATTTAAAAACACAAAGCACATTTTCTTTACAAGGATAAGTCCAAATTTTTTTTAATGCTGTTTAACACAATCATACTTCCATCATTACATGCTAACAGATATCCCTAAAAAGTTGCATACCTATATATATATACACACACACAGCATTTTAGCAGGTATTGAAAAAGTCTAGAAAGTGAGAAACATGCATAGCCAAAAAGACTTTCTAGTAATACAGGGGTTCTGACAGGTTTTGAGATATTTTCAGGACTCCTACCTATATCACTGCAGATGTAACATTGTTTTGCCTTTTGTTCTTTCAGTAATGACCAGTGAATTTAAAGAGAAGCATAATTTTATTTTGTGCTAACTGAAGTTCTACAGTTAAGCCTGTTATTTGGAAATGGAGTAAATGGAGGAAAATCTCATTCACTTCAGGAAAACTGAAAGAACTAAAACCACTGGGTTGAGTTTTTCTTTCAAAGTGCTAATACTGTAATATAAGGCTATTTGTAGTAGTAGTAGTATAGAAGTGTCTATAGATGTTTCTATATGCAACATTGAAAATGGCACCAATGAAAGAACACTAAAGTGTATGGAAAGAAACACAATGTTGTGTCATTTTGCTCTCCCTCTTTGTTTTTTTGGGGAGGATTTGGGGGGGGGTTGTGGTTGGGGTTTTTTTTTGGGTTTTGTTTTTTTTTCTTTTACCTTTCACAGTGCACCGTAAGCTGCAGTGATTACAAGAAGAAATCAGATTTTGAGAACCTGACGAACTTCATTTGTTCGAGCTGCTAATTTCATTCTTAACAGATACAAGATTTGATATACTTAATATCCCTTTAGGGCCTGATTTAGCAGAAATTACCTTCTTGTAAATTCAGGATTATAGCAGACTGACTAGCCTTTGGCTCAAGTCTCCAGAAGGCAGAGAAAAGTAAAGAAGCTCAGCCTTCCATGCAGATGCTATCTCTAATCTGACTGTGTGCTATTAAACAAGCACACCAAAAGAATGGAGAAATGAGGAAAATGTCCCTTGGGCCTTCTTAGGAAAGGCGCACACACGTACAAAAAGAAAAGGTCGTGAAAGGGTTCTTCTTTAAAGATATGATCACTTAGAAATGACCCAGAAATTAGGTGTTGTAGAAACAATCTGTAACATTTTAAAATCTGCAGAGATCAATAAAGTTATAACCTTCTAACTTAGAAAGAAGTTATATGTGATGTCCATTGTGTTTTGTGCAGTTTGATCTTGAGGGTGAAGAATTGTGCTTTCTGGGTCATGAAAAAAATTACCTCTTCACTTTCCAGACACATAAACCACCAAATACCTCACTTTACCCAAGCCTATTTTTGTTGTATGGCGTCCAACCTATTAGCCGGTGGCATCAGAGCTTGATAACCTCTGTGGGAAACTGACCATAAAAAAATAAAGCACTTGGAAAGTCATAGCTCCTTTCCACGGTCAGTGGCCAGAAAATGCCGTATGGAAAAGTGTTTCATTTATAACATGTCCTTTAACTTCATTTCCACATTTAGTCTAATTTTAGTTTGTAATATTTGATAGACAATACTTCCTGTCCTAAGTAACTTCTTCTTAAGTGTTTGTTCCTTGTGGCAGAAAGCAACAAATCTTAAAACATTTTCCCGGTCATTTTGTCTGCTGGTATTTGGAACAGTTTACCAGCCTGCGGTATCTTAATCAATTCTTGAAGCAAGAAAGTGATGCGGAAAGATGGGAAGTAAATACGTCCATTACTAGCATGTCTTGGGAAACAGCACTGGGAGGGAAACAACACCTGGTTTAGGTTGATGAGGAAGGAAATAAGCTTGTGACAAAGTCTGAGAAATCCACAAGTGGTAGTATGCAAGGGAGAGCAGATCCATAAATTAAACAGGAGTGAAAGAGACATTACTTGCTGCTGCAGACTACAATGTGTAATATGTCAAATGAACAATTCCAAGCTAACAATCAAATAAGCACCTGCACCAGAACATACAATTACTGACTATTTCAATAGGCTATTAAATCCCCAATGTGTCTATTCCTCTTATCTTTCCTCCAACCTGTACAATGTTTGCAAGAACAAACTGTTAACAATTCTGTTATTCCCTGAAAGTATCTAGTAGAAAGAGAAATGGACTCACCATGTTTTCTGTTGTTGTCATGAGGTTGAAGTAAATAGATCCAAAATAACTATGCGCAGGAGTTTCATGCTACTGTTCTGAATCTTCATGAAAGCAGAACAATTCCAGGATTTTCAAAGAGAAGCACAGCATAGAATGATTTCCATCTTCATATGTCCAAGCACAGGTAGTTCCAGTGTATGGTTAGGTGCCAACGTGGGCCATTATAGCACAGAAGGTACAAATGAACTCCTAAATGCACTTTACCACATCAGCTGTCCTAAAAGAAGAGATTCTACAGGGATCATTTTCACAAACAGCTTATCTCATCTGTGCTTCTGTTTGTGCTCCTTTAGCTCTGTGTCTTCTCCCTTTTGTCAGCTCTTCTTTTTGCTCTGCTGTCTCTTTCCAAAAAAGTTCTGTAAAGATGGGGTCCTTTTTTAGATGTTTGCTGCCTAGATTTAAAGTAACAAGGCATGTTATCTTAAAGCTGAGCAATCTGAACATTTAGTAAATGGAAAAGAAAAATGAAAATAGCATTGCTGTACTTTAGCCCTGTTTCTCTTTTCTCTCTTCTGTGTCATGGTGTGATGGTATGTTTGTTTCAACTGTAAGACTTGATTAATAAGATTGGAATAGTAGATGTGACTCGGGATTAGGCAGTTTGTGAACTTCGTAGACACAGGAGTGTTCAAGCTATGCATTGTCTTTCTCTGAAGCTGTTTATATGAAGTTCTGCCACAGAAAATAAATATCATTGCTAGACAGTGAGACTAGTTTTGAGAATGTCCCTAGTTATGCTCACTGTCTCAGAGTCTCCATCATTTACCATAATTTATAGCTCATTTTGAATTCTCTGTAGCTACATCTCTTACATAATGCCCTCTTTGTATTGCTCAGTGTTAATCTTCCATTGGAGAATATCTGTTTCATTTTCTCTTATTACTCATTTTCAAACGTCAGCCCAGTATCTAACTCAAGAAAATGCTATTTCTTAAAAATATGGAATGCTGATAATACACAATTTTACTAGCTTTTATAGATAGTAATATTGTGGGGGACAAACTAATTTAAAAATACGCACCAAATATTAGATAAAAAAACCTTTGCTTAAGATAATTACTTGAGCCCATATAAGCATTGTATTAAAAAAAAAAAAAGGGGGGGGGGGGGAAGAAAAAAGAAAAAAAAGCAGTGTGGTAAATCTTATTTTAGGTCACTGAGAAAAAGGTTATAAGGAATTTTAAATTTAGGAGTGCCTGTGTCTCTCTGGTGATGTGCAGAGCAAACAACTTAGAAGGTTCACTTGATGTGCCCTGTATTATTACTGAATAAATGAAAAATTATGGGCACTTGAGCACATATTGCTTACTATAGTTTTGGAAGTGATATCAAACAGTACACCATATGTATAAGTTTTTAAATTTAGTATATGTTTAAGGGAAATAAACACATTTTAGATTTTAAAAAGTGTCAACTAACTGGAGCTCTTACTAAGAGAGGGATTGTTTTCGGTTAGAATAAGCCTGTGTATTTTTCATTTTGCTCTTGACTGCAACAGAGGGATCTGCCTCAGTTGCTTCAACAACTGAAGAAAAATGCTGCTTTGGTCCTCCTTCTAGCAGTGCTTTCGGTGGACTCTGGGAACTACCATGCTCTGTATTACTGGAAAATTATCACGTCTGAGAAGCCAGGTGATATTTTGGAAGGAAACAAAGTGTATGGTCAAGGGAGAAGGTTGGTATGTGTGCAAATATGCAGCTTCCCCACTCTGCTAGTGATTTTGTTTCTGCATTGTTATTTTTGTTTTCCGATTCACACCACAACATACTTCCAATAATTTTCAGCTATGCAAAATAATTACAAAAATAATGAAATAGCAAATGACTTTGGAAAATGGCAACAGAAAGAATGCAAGTGTCTGCAGCAATACTAGACAGAAAATGACCGTGTTAGAAAACACCACTTACAAAACCATTATTTCGTTTTGCTTAAAGGCAGAGACACACACAGAGTTATTTTAAGAATGTTAAGAGGTCTAAACTGATATGCCTCTAAATCTCAGAAAACTTCAGCAAGAGAGAGTGCAAAGTAAGGCATATATTGTCAGTGAATTTACAAGGAGCAAACAAACAAAAAACCCAAGCCCACACGTGCTCTCAAGAAACCCCAAATGAACAATACTTTTTTCCAGTCCCATACTTTTTATTTACAGTAACACTGATAAAATAACAGTTCTTAAATTTCCACTATAAGGGTGAAAACACTGAGGATTATAAAATTACATCCCTAAATACGCATTATAAGTTAAAAAAAAGATATTAAATCACAAAAGTATAAACTTAGAGCTGACACAGGAAGGTAGGATACAGAAGTGTTCCTTTTACAATTGTATTCAAAGGGGGTACTAAGTTTATTGTGCTTTACATAAAACTATTGTTCTAAAACAGAGTAGGATTATTTAATTATTTTTAATATTGTGGTAAAACATTTTTCTGATTACTTTGGAATTATTCTATAAATAGAAAAGACAAGTTGTCATATTTGACTGAAGTGTTTGGTATATGTAAATAAAAAGTGAAAAAAACCAAAAGGAGATAGAAGAGGAAAGCTACTTAATTTTTGCTATGTTTTAAACCTTAATTTGTGCTTTCTATGTGGTGAGATAGAATTTTATACTGCTACAGATCATGATTTTGGAAAATGAACTCTGATATTATTCTAGGTTACTAATCACACTGGTTTAGAAAACAGTTTCTATGACTTGAACTAAGCCTGAAAATTGTAGTCTGTTAATAATGGTTACAAAGCTATGCTGCCTACACGCTCTCCAGTCTTTTCTTGCTGTTCTTTCTAATATATTTTATATTAAACACAGCTGTCTCAGATCTGGACTTCTTATTCTGCATGATTTGCTGGTAATGTATTACCAGTGATTTATATAGACTTCTAGTATCAACTTAGTATAAATTCTGTTTGAATTGTATGTGATTTTATTTCAATTTGCTTTAAAAAGCTGCAAGAAGATTTACTTCTACCAAGTTTTTTATTTGGCAGTTTTCATAAGTTTTATATTGATTTAGTTTTGTTTATAGATATTGTAGGTGGCCTACTTTAAACAGTGTTACTCAGTCACTGTAGTATCACATGTTTGCAGAAAAGCTCATTAAAACATGTTTGGTCACTGCCAAATTATTTAACTGTGGCCTCAGCTTCCTTATGTGCTTCTAAAACACAAAACTATTTTGTCCTCCAAAAATGCCAGTAGAGATGGACCATTGCACAGTATTGGTTTAGGAAGGTCTCTGTAGCTACTGTATGTCCTATAATTGCCTATTTAATCCATTGTCCAGTTGCTGATTTAGCACAAATACTCATTATCATTCTGTGAAAACCACCACAAAGTTTCAAATTTACATAATACAATGAGCTGTATATAACTGATATTCCTTCCATGGGTCAGAGTCTCAACAGCTCAATAATTTCATGTATGCCAAACATTGTTAACAATTAAAAGATTTTTCCCTTTTTGGCTCAAATTAGAATTAGGACACTGTTTTTTAAGTAGTAAGACCAGAGACCCTGTATCAATTTTGCTATAGTGATAAATGGCAATCAGTGGGAGTTTTTCTAATTAAGAGGGAAATATCTAGGCATTTCAAGACAGAATTTATTCCCACAATGTTTTTTCATAGTATAGAGTCCTATTCTGAGATGCCAATTCTGCAAATAGATCTTCTTTTTTCCTCAGGTTGATAACAAACTCTTTCCAGGCTTCTGTTCCATGTATACAGCAGAGTTATTTTACACTCTTCCTTCAAATGAAAATACTGTCTTACTTTCAAACTGTCCATAGCAGCTGAAAAGGGTAAGCATGTCTGGAGCTGGTCTGGGGATAAAATGAATGAGCAGGTTCCAGGCAGTCATAGGGGGATTTTTAAAGCCTCCTGAGAAACTGTTGTAGTGAGTGGTGCATTGCAGAGAATCAACTGGGAATCGTGGCTTTGTCTCAGCAGTTTACTCACTGGCTCCATAAGAGCTTAATGCAGCAGGTGTTATTAGCATCCCTCTGTTACAGCCCCTTTAGGGGGTTTGTCATCAATCTTTATAACGCCATCAGCATTCCAGCAGATGGTAGACATGATTCCATGCACTCCCTCTGCTTCTAAACTGCACCAGAATGGATTTCCATCATATTTTTAATTACAAATGAGAAATATATCAGAAACAGACTTGTTTCATGCTGGCATTTCCAAAGGCTTTTCCCAGGCAGGCAAGGAGTATGTTGCTTTATGTTTTATTTTTTTATATTTTGCTGAGATTGAGCGTTTCACAGGAGATAGTATCAGCTTGTTCAGCACCAGAACTAACCTCAAATCATTCCTGGGTACTCTCCAGCAAAGCAGTCTCTTGTTTCGAAATGGAATTTGAAATGACAGCTTTTTGTAGGCAATAGTGAACGTTAGGAGCCAGTCCAGCAAAGCGCTTAGACATTAAGAATAACTTGAATTGCTATTGAGAACAATTATTTGACTAGCAAACCTCACGTATATAAAGTTACATTCATAATAAAATGCATTGATGGATCAAGATTTTATGTAACTATTTTTAAAGCAACAGATTTGATTTCTAAACACTTACCTTACTGTTCCATTTGTTTCCTACCTTATCATCCATTTGTGGATTTATTCTTTTCCTTTCAACCTATGCTTTCACACTTTCTCTTCGGGCCTATTCCTTTTACCCCTTTTTGTCATCTCTTACACAGGCATTCTTTTAGTGGAGACAATAAAGAAAAGTTAAGCGGTAGCCACCTTTCCTTTAGGCAGCACATGTAACAGAAGTAGTTAAGACATGATGGAAGGGGGATAAGTACATTTTTTAATACACTTTAATAGGTTCTTTAAAAAAAAATAAACACTTTGAACACAAACAGTAGCTTTTGGCAATCTATTTAATATATTGACTGAAAATTCCTCCTCCAATCCAAGGTAGTTCAACGTATGCAGAAAAGGTAATAGTAACTTGGTAAATAGTTCTCCTCTATTTAAAACTTTATGTGTTCTGGCTTAGTGACTTTTAGATTAGTGCAGGACTGGATAGCAAGTGGAAAATCCACTATCTAAATGAAGCATAGTCACTCAGTAGACCACTGAAATTGGAATCTTTATCATTGGCATTTCAAAATGTGATGGCTGTGTATTCCTTGAAATTTGGCACTCCAGTGCTTTGTTCTTTTCATCATGTCTAGAGTATGAGATCAGAGCATAAAAATAGCTTCTTATGTCACCTTTTTCTGAGAAGCCCATTCAAAAATAGAATATAATATCAGAGCCAGTATGTAAAACTGAAGTAATTACATGATAGAAAACTACTTAAATATAGATGGATTTCAACAAATTATGTCCAACAAAAAATGGAAGAAATGCTGTTAAACAGGGTGCTCCACAGAACAGTCTGTGTTCAAACTGAATACCTGCTCCCACCAAGAACACACATATAGTTAGAAAAGCTTGACATGATTGAACCCTGTATTAATCAGGAAGAAAATAAAATAATTCTTCTTTTAGTTTTCATTTGGCAGCTTTTGCAAGAGTTGCATATATTAGCCTTTAATTAAGCACCTCTTGGCACTACCTCAGTGCTTTTTCGATAAGTGGCATTTATGTTAATTCTATTCTTATTTAGCTGATGTTTGCCACTCACTGTCATTAGGTTATCTGGGTAGATACCCCAATAAAACAGTATGCAAATTAAATTTATCCCAATTAAAAGGAGTTTATGGTGATGGCAACACCTTCCGATAACTTTTTCACAGCAGGAAATACCATTTTCTGAAAATAATCTGAGCTCTAGCACGTCAGCTGGAGCAACAGTGCAAGAAAACCATCCTTCAGAAGTCCCACTAAGACAGGGATGCTGTTTGCAAAATGGGGCTAGGACACCTGGAGGCTCTCATTTGCAGGATGCTGTGATAGTGACAGGGAGGAACAGAAGAGAATGAGCATGGTCATAGAATTGGTTTGTTTAGAACAAAAAGTTCTGCACAGTGCTAAGCATGCAGTTCCTCTGCCCCAGACCATCATCACTGTGTATCAGAACAGCACCATCCTCACAGAGACCACTAAACAGACCGTTCATCTACACAGGGATTCACCATATCAGGGATTTAAAGAATATGGATAACTGTGGAACGCTGTGGTAAAAGCTAAAACCAGCTATGAAAATAAAAATTACTTAATTAGAAACAACTAAAAGAGAATTAATGTATTTAAAATTATAGATCTACTACAGTGTAAGTATATTTCATGGACAAACATATTAGCAGTCCCCCAAAATGTCTGTGTAATTATAGAGGAAAATATACTTATTCTTTTTTTGGGTACATTATTACAGGCAGCAGTACATAGAAATCAAAAGACACAGTAACAAAGAGATTTGGAACAATAAACACCACTCTCAAACTACTTAATATGAAGATATAGTAAACTGCATTTGGTCTATGCTTCAAGGGACTAGGATGACAAATTAATATAATGACGTAAAACTGAAAGGAATATTCCTAGAATTGGTAATTGACACTGTGTACTGAAATCTCCAAATTACAATGATATAAAAACCCACTGCAGTCTTGAAAAACTGGAATAATGCTTACTACAAAACAAAACCTGAGATTTAGACAGGTTTGCCAGTGGAAGAATCAAACACTAAAGACAAATGGTAATATTTTATATCTAAGCAATTTTTAAGTGGTATCCCAGATTTCCAGTTTTATTTGACATACACAGTTTTCTGAACACAGGAAAATGAGCTGAATGAAAATGCCTTCTGCCATAGTGGCCAACACCTCAGAAATCTGTCCATAAAAGAATTTACATTAAAATCTCTCGAGTAGGGCCAACATTCCTGCAATTGATATTAAAAGTCATCAATAAAGAAGTCAAAGATACTTTAAAATAAATGTCTGAAATACTAACTTATGTATATTTTGTAGGTAATGGAATTGCCATTTCAGAGATTAAAATTCACAAAAAAATTACAGAAATATTCTAATAAAGTTAAGAAAATTAATAGAGTTAAGAAAATCTGTTTTCAAATTTATATTGGTTCCTAGCTTGCAAGAATAAGAATGAGAATAAGAATAAGAATTCAAACCAGATTTCAGACACAACGGTCAGCACTTCAGCTGTTCTAAACCAAAATATCATCATTAATACTGGGCTGTATAAACTACTCCGAAAAAGAGTACAAAATGAGTAACAGTTTGGAGCCATAGCCCTTCCCACACAAAACACCCTATTCATTTCAGCCGCGTGCTGTCTCCCAATACCCTTGGCGCAGAAGTATGTCATTCCTCTCAGCATACTGATGTCCTGGCCAAGCTCACAGTCCTACCTGAGCCGCTGCACTGTCACGCCTGCGCTGTAACCCAGCCTGGCCACAGAGCTTATCTTACTGGCACTGTGCCACTGCGTATTTCTGAGTGGGATGTGCAACCTGAAAGTATCCGACAGCCTAGTGAGGAAGAGTATGAGGAACTGTCATGGAGCAGGAAGACAGCTACTTTCTTCACTCCAGAAATCTTGCTATTACCCTCCAAAATACTTCCCATACTAGCCAAGGAAAATATGCTGCTAACTGTAAAAGCAATTAGAAAATAATTCACCAATTATCTCCTGTAAACATGCTAAAGAAAAGGCAACAAAACCCACAGTACTGGTTAAGATATATTATATCCTATACTGCCTTTAGATCTAGCTGTGTTTAGGTTTTCCAGTGTGGTGATTGTACTTTCTGGCCTACGTGCTAAAATTATCCACTGTGCTTATGATTACCGTCCAAGTTCAATTCCATATAAGCAGTAGCAGCAGTGCTCTTCTGGGAGAGGGGCAAGGGTGGTGAAAGACTAACACACAAGATAACTGATGGTTGGTGATACCATAGGCACTTTGTCTGGAAAAACAGGTTTACAATACTCCTGGTAATAAAACATCTTTAGCCTCTATGGTCTAATCTGTCATTTGTTTCAGTGCTGACACATCATGCAAAAATCTTTCAGCTAATCTCAAGCAAAAGTTGCTGTAACTCAAAGAAGTAGATAGATTCTTATAAAATTATGAGTTTCCACAAGACATAACCAACTGTATATGTACTGAAAGAAATATTCTTGCCAAGAATTACTGCAGGTCACAAAATGAAATACAACACATATTTAAGATAAAAGCTATCATGAGCAATGAGAAAAGCATAATTTTTTTAAACATGGGTGAAGCAAAATTGTCCTTGATTGCCAATGATGTACTCATTTTAAAAGTATATTTCCAATGCTTGTTTGCTGTTAGCTTCATAAAATTTAAGGTGAATGTATAATTGATTATATGTTACCGTGAAAATGGCTTTTACAATTTATTTTATGTGATTTTCTTTGTAACAGTTCTATGTGAGGCTTCATTCTGTGGCATTGCATTAAAAATATTTTCTTTTTTATTTTTTTTTAAGTAGCTACTGGAAAATACTCTCCAATCTAGGATAGTCAATTCAGGGGTCAAATTCTGCTTCTTGCACACCATGCCTAATATCTAAATCTAAAAGCAGTTAGTAGTTACTTCAGTGAGATAATATACAAGGGTAGTATTAAACTGGTATAAAATAATAAAGCTGTCTGCAAACAATAAAAACAAAGTAGTCTAATGAAGGCAGTACATTTTGAAAATGTATACTTTTCCAGCAGTTAAGGCCTCTGGCAAATAGGTTCTGAAAAATCTTGCTGGAGAGTTACCAGTCCCTAGACTGAACACTTACTCCCTTTTTGGATACCACCACTTCTTTTACAGGGACAGCAGAAGTAGACATGCGGTGGACCTTTCATGTTATTCCCCTGCAAAAAAAAAAACCCAAACAAACATATTTTTGCTACTCTAGCCTTTTCCAGTTGTTTACTTAATGTAAGAGCTGTAGTTGAGATTTTATAGCTGTTATGTCCAACTCCATACTAAGTAGCATACTGCATGGAAAGAAGGAGAAGCACCCCAAAACACCAGTTTCGACACATTAAAACCTTGCTTAGCAATAATTTACTCCTTTTACCTTGAAGGGCTGAGGCCACAGTGCGATGATGAGATACAAATGATACTGCGTAAACTATCTGTAAGGAACACTGACCCACCGTTGTGATAAGCTAAATTCAGTCGATAGGTCACAGCAGAATTGAATAAAAAACAAATTTCTGAAACAAAAATGCCCATGTACATCTGGTCTCCAAGCCATCATTTCTTGTTTTTCCATATTCTTACATGCTAGTAAATAAAATTAATAAAATTCCCTCCATCAACATTTCTATGTACAGATGCTGTTTAAATGAGCAACTGGTGTATTTTACTGTGATTGTTACTACCGCTCTTTCTCTTGTGGAAGAAACCACCTGCAAGCAGCAGCAACAGAAAGCTGCCAAGCATCACTGTCTGTTGAACTAAACTGGGTAGCACCTGTGAATCCACAACCTGCAGTGCTACAGAAATTTACCTTATGACACTCTGGAGAACATGTCCTCCAAAATAGCATGCCCTTCTATCTGCTGCCTCCCCCCAAAACCCACATCTGTTTCCTACCAATAGCTCTTAACCCACATCCTCTTGATGTCTTCTAAAAGGAAACAGAAAATGAGGGTTCACTTTCATCAGCATCAAAGAGTCAGCCTGGGAGCCATTCTGCTGTTTCTCTGAAGGAGTCTAGCGTGAAAAGAGGAAGAGCAATCTTTGAGAAGATGTCATCGGAAAATGGCCACAGCACCAGCTTTGAAGGTTTGTGTTACCACATTGATCTGCTGTCTCACCTTACTCTAAGGTGGTGGTCTCCAAACCTTTTTGATGTTGCACTCCTTTCAGTAATACATTTTTGAGAATGCACTCCCAATGTTTGTATATATATATTTATCTACCAATTGTAAATATGCACTACTTTACTAATACAATACGTACATGTATACGTACAATATACGAGCAAATAGATATTAAAGGACAATGTACGAAATTTTATAAAACAATTTACTTTTAAAAGTGTTTATTTACAACAAATATTTTCTTGCACCACAATGGACTGTCTTGCACAGCCCTCGGGGTGCTCACATCCTATTTTGGAGATCACTGCTTGATGGTATTGAAGAGCTGATGTATCAGTATTTTGGTTTGTTTTAACAGAGGAAGAACATAGATGACACAACTTTCTGTCAGGAAATCACTTATTGACTTCTGAGAGTGTCTAGGACTTAACTTCATGGAAAACAACAGATTACCCAAATAAATAACAAAAAGACTTGTCCGCTCTGCCAATTAATAAGCCATCTACATATTATCAGCCATTTACTGACTCCCCTCCTTTTTGGATCAGAAAATGTTTAGACTGCTTGTTTAGGAATTCCAGACTCTAGCAGATCAAAGGAAAAAGGAAATTTCAGTGCACAAGACCTTTTCTAGATAATGCTGTTAGGTTTATTATGCTCATTGTTCAAGCTAAATATCTGATATTTTACCTAGTTTATCTTCTAGCCGTTGGTTATATTTTTTCCTTTTTTCCTACCAAATTAAAGAGATCTTTAACACCTGCACATTTCTTCTTGGAAGGATGATTATACATTATGACCATATCACTCCATTACCTTCTCTTCATTCAGCTGCAGTTCTCAACGTGGGAGTATTTTTCTGTAGCTCTTCTCTACATCTTTTCATGTTTTTCAGGTATCTTTTTTATATTATGGTTGTAAGGATAATTTTTTTCCTTTCTCCTTTTAGAGTCTCCTAGTTCAAAGCCTTTCTTTTTCCTCTCTGACAAGAGAATGGAATCCTCCGTTCCATACCCTCTTCGCCTCTGAGTCTAAATTGGGCACAGTATGTTTCAGAAGCATT